CATCATGGTGAAGAGATGATAGGGATTGAGAGAAATAGCATGCGCATCTTTCGCATCAAATTGTCCTGACCCCACTGGTCGAGAGTGAGTGATTCATTTCATTTTCTATATGCTCTTGTACCCCGGTGAGGACCTAGATTGCTCGGTCTCTATTCTGATGTCTTGAGTTGGATGCATGAGTTGACTGTTTTGAGTAAGTGGTTGAATCAAGTCTAGGTTGGCCAGTGAACAGAAGGGAGACTCTTCCTTTACTCGATTTGCTGCACTCGAATGTCCTTTGTGGTGGTTGTCCAGGTTGCTAATAAAGTTGTTCATGTGTTGATGTTTGAAAACCAGTTTGATTCACGTGTTCTGTGCCTTTATGACTTGTCCCCAATGTTGGTTGACTGAAATATGTGAGCTTACCTTGTGTAGTACTTGGTTTGCTTGGGGACAAGCAAACAGTTAAGTGTGGGGGAATTTGATAGCATCGTATTTGCACGTGTTTTCACTCTGGTTTCCTGTCCATTTTGGCTCGAATTGATTGTTCCTTGGCCTATTTTACGCTAGGTTGTGTTGTTTTGTCGTATTTCAGGTCCTAGCAAGAAAGAGGCAATAGGCGCAAGTTTCGGGTCATTTGGAGGTCAATGGCGAGCACAGACAGAATTACGGGCAGCCCCTGCTAAATTACGGCCGTAATTAGCCAGGGCATGCCCGTAATTAATTGGCGAGCCTTCTCCCCAGCAATTCTTCTCGGTGGTAAAATTACGGGCAAGACCCCAGAATTACGGCCGTAATTCCCAAATTACTGGCGGTAATTGGGAAATTACGGGCGTATTCCTCCTCCTGCAGCTTAAGTGAAACGTGCGTTTTGGTGTGAATTACGGGCAGGAAGTGATTACGGCCGTAATCTGCCCGTAATTAGCCCAGAGTCGGGTTTTTGGAGGCAGATTCGAGCCAAGGAAGGGGAATTCGATTTTCTGGGCAAAAAACAGAGTTTTAGAGAGAGAAAGAGCGAAGAAGAAACCCTAGGAGCTATTTTGGAGTGGATTTCTCATCATTGAAGCCCAGATTGCGTCCCTAGGAGTGAAGATTGACATCCCAGAGCAGATTTTCCTCATCTTTATGAGTATGACTACTCTGATTTCTGTTTTCCTTTCTCTCTCTATGGAGTAGAACCTTTCTCTCACTTGGGTATGAAGAACCCTAGTTCCTTGTGTTAGGGATTTGATTGTAATGACTTGGGATGATATTATGTTTGGTTTTAATCGAATGATGCATGTTTATGAATTGATTTGAGTCTGATCAGCTTTATCAATTTCTGCTTCAACCTGAGATAGATAGAATCTGATTAGGTTGTTAGAGCCTCTTATTCGATAGTAGGAGGTTGGCTATACGAGAGTTAGCCAGTTTACTGCTTTGTATTGTGTTCTTGGCCAGTAGTGGAGTTCTGTGTTCATAGCCTCAGCTTTCTATCCTGGTGAAGACTAGTCGTCTGCCGGGTAGTTAGACTGAGAGGGCTTGGTCAGCTTAAGAGATTCCAAGCTACTGTCGGATCTTCCGCAGTCTAATCAACAGTAAATCAACCCAGGGAATTGCAATTGAACCTAACTAAGGGGCTAGGGGGACTCAATCCGAGTGACTTACCTGCTTTTGAAAACCGAACCATTTCCTGCTTTCTTACTGCTTTTGCTTTAAACAACAATCACTCGAATTAGTTTGCTAGATAATAGACAATCACGGAGTAAGCAGTAGATCTAGACCCCGGGTTGATAATATAACTTGCCTGTTACTGCATTCCCGGACTGCGATTACACTTGGTCGCAGTTTGGTGTTGTGTTTTGGCGTGTCACCCGCTTAAATGGGCCGCCACGTCAGACTCCTAAAATCACTCTATGCGCAGGAAAATTTGAATGGGGGTTGCAGTTTTACTTTTCAGCTATAAATTATACTGTTGATCAATTGGACTATTGTTTCAGTGATCGGATATATATGTGTTGTGTGTTTTTCGTATCAGTTATTGCTTCAATGGGTTTCAATGGGTATCGAATCAATGGGTTTCACGTTTTCGCTTTGAGAAGCTGGTGATAAGCCCCTAATTGGGTAGCTTGGATGAGAGAAAGTACAATAATCGAATTCAATCAAGGATTGAATTGAATTCGAAAATTAGAACTCGAAAATAGAGTTTCAAGCTCGTGTTTGGGATGATGATTTTGTACAACTTTCTCATAGGGAAAGAGGCTCGAAAACTTAGGGTAGATGCTTGGCCACAATCAGTTAGGAAGATCTCCAAATTCACAAAGCAAAAGCTATGGAACTCAACCTTGCGATTTATTCAATTCAACTAAAAAACTGTATAAGGACCTAGCCAAAATTCAGTGTTCTTTAACGTACTTAGCTTACCTTAATGATCAATCAATTCCAGCTTGATTGAGGGCCAATTTGGGATCACATCAGTCCCTCCCCCATAAAAAATCTTTGTCCTCAAAGTTTTGGCCCTCCCTTCCTCATAGACTCACAGAATTGATCCCAAATGGGGTCTGAAAATGGCTTTCCCAACTCGCAATTCTGAAAAACGAGGTCAGTGTTCTTCATGTGCAAAATTGGGGCTTTTGCATTCAGGGATCCGCAGTCCAATTCAAGGCCACTCATGACTTTCTTTTGCTTTGAATTGAAGTTCTAAACAGGCCTTGTGGCTCGAATCATTGTCTTCGTCGTCAAATCATCGACATCTTCTTTCCCGCCATGGACGCAGTTCAAAAACTCAAAACTCAGCAAACTTGAATTCGATTGGGCATTTTGATTCAGTCCTCGCCAGCCCAATCAGACCATTCCTATAACTTCATGGGATTGTCCCCAACATTTTGGCACCAACCATGCGTGTCGAATCATCCTCAATCGATCCAACCAATAGACTTGATTTTTAATCGAGTTGGTTCATTTCCAGAGCAATTTCTGGTCGAATTGGATTCGGCAATCCAGGTATATTCGTCCCAATCCAACTTTCATTTGAGCTTCTTGTCGCAATTCATTCTCTCTCCTGCTTTACTCTGACGATGGTTGGCAGGGTCAGCGGCGATGAATCTTCATTTCTTTCTTGTACCCAGTCAACATTTCACCGAGTGACAAGAATGGCGGCTTTGTCTTCCTCGCCGGACTTACCACTTGATTTACCTTTGGATCGACGTTGACTGGCTTCAAGCCGCCGTCGATCTTCTCGGACTTCTTCAGGTGACAGGGGCTTCAACAGAATCTCCTTCCCCTTGTACCGAACTTTGTAGTAGTTCGGCCCTCCATAGTGGCATACACCTCAGTCGAATTGCCAGGGCCTCCCGAGAAGTAAATGCGCAGCTTGCATTGGGGCGACGTCAAATTCGAGCTCGTCGTGTTAAGCTCCGATCTCAAAGTTCACCCGTGCTTGGCTTGACACTCGAACTGCTCCAAAATCGTTAAGCCAAGCAGGTTATAAGGGTCTGGATGCCTGGTAGTTTTTAATACGAGTTTGTCCACATCATCCTTGCTGATCACGTTGGCACAACTGCCTCCGTCAACGATCACCGGCAAGAGTTTCCTGACAACCAAACCAAAGAGAATGAAATAAATTTTCCCTTTGGCTCAGGCCTGGCTGCGTTTCAATGGTTAAAGCCCTTCGATTAACGTTTAGAAGCTTGCCAGGTGGAGGCTCAACTTCAATTTCTCATCAACTTCCTCGTCACTGGAATTTGCTCGTCGTCGGTGAGAAACTCGCAGTCTCTGATCACTAGAGTCTTCAAATTAGGGCACTGGTTGGCCTTGTGCCCTCTCCCGTGGCACTTGTAGCACTGTATCCCTTCAAAGCGTTCATTAGAGGTTGGTTGAGCGTTACTTGGATTCAATTTTCCTGAATCGGGTCGCAATTGCTCGGGATAGCTTCAGTAGGTGTCTTTGTCCCTGCCTTGCTTGCGGAGAGTGCTCTTCCTTGAGGTTCTCTGCTGCTTTCGACTTTAATTGCGAGGTGAAGAGCTTCCTCCAAGTCGACAAAGGCCTGAGCTCAACCTCATACCGGACTTTCCTGTTCAGACCATGGAGAAAGAGATCAATCGTTGCTTCCCGATCCTCCCTGATGTCGGCGCGCATTATCGGCAACTCCAGTTCCTGGAAAAATTCCTCCACCTTCTTGCTCCTGTAGAATTCCTTCCGTAGAGTTCGTTTGATAATAGGCAGGAATGAACCCGTCCCTCGTTAATCTTCGTAACTCCTCCACGTCACCACCAAATCTTGGTTTGCTGTCGGCGACGTTGAACCTGTTCCCACCACTGGGCAGCGTAATCCGAGAACTCAAAAGTGGCCATGGCCACTTTCTGGGCCTCACTGAATTGGCCACACTGAAAAAAGGATAATTTTCCTTTCCTAGTCAAGGTACGACGAAGGGTTCATCGTCCCCTGAAACGACAGTACTGCTAGCTTAATTCCTGGTGATATTGCTGTCGATCGCGTTTATCACGATGTGGCGGTTCGGTTGTGAGGCTCAACGATGATCAGACGTCGCTCCAGCTCAGCAATTCGATTCAGCAACTTGGATCGCCAACCAGGTTCTCTGGCCGATGACTTCCCTGCTCGGACTTCATTCTCCGGCAGCGTCAGAGCCTCGAATTTTTGCTCAATTCGCGCTTAAATTGACCAAGTTGATCATGAATTTGAGTCTGGAACCTCTCCTCCAGAGATCCAATAGTTTTCCATGTCGAACACTTATCTGCCATAGCTGCCTGTTTCTTCTTCTTTGTTGGTTCTGGGAACACTGATGCAGGCTCGTCGGAAACAAACCCTTAGCAGCGATGTTTTCCTTTGTTCTGGGCTCTGTTTGAACCAGGCTCGTGATGCCACTTGATAAGCCCTAATTGGGTAGCTTGGATAAGAGAAAACACAGCAATCGAATTCAATCAAGGATTGAATGAATTCGAAAATAGATCTCGAAAACAGAGTTTTAAGCTCGTATTTGGGATGGTGATTAGTGTTAGGCGATAGTTTAGGCACACAAAACAGAGAAAAAGAATGCATATTTTTCATTAGAACTTAAAATAAGGAAGTATGGAATGCTCATAAAAAAACAAAAAACAAAATTAATGATTACAATTAAAGATTGACCTATAAAACACATTCAATCAAACTGATACTTCTTATTCAGGATTCAGGAACAAATCAGGGTACATTTTTATTTCCAAACCCAACTAAACTTCCCCACCTAGCTCAATGATGAACTGCATGGCCACCAGGGTAATTCCAGCCATGAAGAGTCACCCTTGGAGTGACCCCTGGAGGAACCTCAAACGACAATTTGATCCTCATTTGCTCACCCGGAACCAGCGAGAAGTAGTTATCAGAATAATGAACAGGCAGGATTCTGGTGTCTTCACCCTCTTGATACTTGGCATTTGCAGCATGAACAGAAAAATGAATGAAAAATGCGACTCCAATATCACTGCCATTCACTTCACAGACCCTCGTGGAGTTCCCATCAGTTTCGCTGAAAAAGATCCTGGACAGACTTCTGAAGAAGCCACCTTTACGCGTCCCATCATCATGATCGTTTTCTTGTGGATTGGTTAGTACAGGCTGCAGCTCTGAGTTCGCATCATAGTCATCACCAGCGGCCTTGTGTTGGATTTTGGTGATGAAGTTGTTCTGGTCGGTCAAATGTCTGGAGGGGTCAGGTTTCTTGGACCTGTTCTGGACAAGGACTTCCATTTCATAGGTTGTTCCACTGATAAAGGTCTGTGTCGTGAGCTTGAGAGGGATCTTCTTCTTCCTGAATGGCTCCAGGGATTTGTAATCGCCACCAGGCAGATGCAGCCAGTAGAAGTTCCTGGATAAGATGCTGTAATCCGACTTGTTGTAGAGTTTCAGTAGGAGGAAGTATGCTGGTTTCGGATTCTTGCACTTGGGGTACTTCATTTCTGCAATGCGTGTAGTCTTTTTCGAAGGAATTGAGAGGTCTTCGTAGACTTTGTAATACGGGGATGTTCCTTCCAGATCCCATACAGATGCTTCTATAGCCACATCTGACAGATCATTTGGTAGGGTATTGACAACCTGTTTGTGAGAAAGGAGAATGGTAAGCTCATAAATTTCAGCAGGTGAATCAAAGGGTAAAGATTGTGTTGAAGTTTTTAGCCATTTCTTGCCTCTATGAAATAGGTAGCCAGATTTAGCTGGACGTGTAGTGGTTCTGCAGCAGAACGACAGCCATAAAAACCTGCAGTTTGGTCGAGAAGATGATCATAAAACTGGCCTCGAAGACCTGTCCATGGGTTCTGGTTCTTCCAAATAAGGACACCAGTGTACTTGCTCCACATATGAGAACTATAGCCCTCCAGAAGAGCTCTGTATTGGATATAGTTTACAAGTTGAGCCTGAGATGCTCACAGAACAAAAGAAAAGTCGGTATCAGCTACGATAGTAATATATAACAGCAAATAAACTTCAAATAGAAGGTAACTGCAAAGATACCTTCAGGCAAAAATCATCAAGGTCTGTTGGGAGGCCGTATAGCAGTATTTGATCATGAACCTTGCCAGGTTTGGAATATGGAATGTATTTGTGGTATGTCCATATTGGGTTTGGCACCTCTTCCACATAACCATCAGCAACCTTGTTAAACAATGGGATTTGCCATCCCTCTATGGGCATTGTAGCTCTGATGGTGGCAGCAACTGGCATTCCCACAGAACCAACCTCAGGGTTGAAGCCATACTTGTAGAAGTCGTCCTTGAAGAAGCTCTCAGGGTACTGAATTTCATACGGCCCATCGGTGAAGTTCCCTTGGCCATCGGCGAAGCCATCCCACATCGATCCTTGAATATAGATTCGTGTGCCATCGAGATAGTCGCAGAGAGCTGTTGACACTGGGAGTTTTTTACCTCCTTCTATGACGGTTTGGAAATGAGGCATTAGTTGCAGGTCTTTCTTTAAGGCATTGTTGATGTCAGGTGGTGGCACTTGTTCGTTTCCACCTACCCAAAGAGCGAGACTTGGATGGTTCCTTAGGAGCTTGACGGTGTCACGGGCACAGAACAAGAAGAGGTCATGATCCAATGGACCATTTGGATTTGAAACAGGGACTCCTCTTCCGTCGACATCTCCAGTGATCCAAAATTCTTGCCACACCTGAAAACAGATTAGATTAGAGACATAAGTTGTGTTCTCAAGGCAGTGCTTTGAACTCCTGCAGTGGGCTTAGTTCTGTGGATGGGAACAAGGCAGCAAATTCGATTGAGCAAATTGCATAAACGGTCACTAACAAATGGGTTACTGAACTACAAGTTTTGACAAACTTGTCACTTAAGTTAGAAAAACAAACATAGAAGTCATTTCTTCCATGTCTATCGGGTTTTCTGTTCAAATGTTCCACACTAGTGTACTAACTAAATCAAATTAATAAAAGAGCAATTACATAATGCCTAATTAGCTAATACGACAACCTCATTTTAACCCATATTTGATTCACCCAAATTTCATAAATCGACCATATTCCAACCCACATTACCTGAAGCTAAGTTTTATCCCTTCCTTTCCCAATTTTACATTAATAACATAGATCCAGATCTTTCTGTACTAAACCAGAGATGAACCAGATGAGGGTGGGGGAGAAAAAGGAGAAATGGCCAGCGTTCTGTCATGTCCCAAACACAAGAGGGGGAAATAAGGAGGAACTGGACTTACTAGTATGCCATAAATGTCACAGTAATGATAGAAATCTGGTCTCTCAGCCACCCCACCACCCCAACAGCGGATCATGTTGAAATTCATATCAGCATGGAACTTTATATCTGTCTCATACCGTTTTCTGGAAAGCCGCAGCAACCCATCAGACACTATCCAGTTACCCCCTCGGATGAAAATTGGTTTGCCATTGACCCTGAACAACCTGCTTGAGAACAAGAGCTTAAGAAACCATGCAGGTTGCATATGTATGCAGCAAGACAATACCTAAGGTGAACCAATCACAACTAACCTTCCACCAGTGTTCTTGTCGATGGAGCTCTCGATTTTACGGAATCCAAACAGCTGGTTCCAAGTATCAGATTCTCCATGTCCCTCGATATTGGCAGTGATGGTGACATTGTACAAAGCCTGCTTCCCCATGCCATTTGGCCACCATAAGTTTGGCTTGTAGAAGAATAGCTGTTCATTCAACTCACGTTCCATTAGTTAACTGAATTGTTCAAGTATTCACATGAACATTCTAGAAAAAACAATTTTCTAACCTGAGGAAATGTGTATTTTACGCATTTACCAGCAGCTATGGCCAAGTACTGTGTCTGCAGATGCTCCACTAAGCAAACATCTCCCTCTAGTTCTGTTGTCACTTGAATGTTTACGGTACACCCAGCCACAGTAGAGCTTCGATTCTCCAACTCCACTGCAGCTTCCAGATATACCCTTGTATAGTTATCATAGAAAGTCGAGACCAAGTGTGGATCGATTATTTTCACTGGCTGTAAGGAAAAAAATTCGAGATGCATTATTAGGAAAAACATTATATAAGCATGCCTTCAACAGAAATTCAGCACCAAGAAACAGAAGCTCACCCCAGTAACTAATATGGACACCTCATCCCAAATGCCAGTATTCCTATCCCTGAAATTACACGAAGAACTTCTTCATCTAACCAAGAAAACAATAGGCAATTGGACTAGATTATGCAATAAAAAACCAACAACATTCGCCACCTTATGGGACAAATCCAATCCCATCCCTCGACATACTGTGTCGTGACATCTTTCCCAATCTGCAAGATACAGCAGAATCCTTGTTAGTACTACTTAACACTGAAATCTACATATGATTTCACTGCTTCAAAGCTAAAGGCATTGCATGAATCATCTCACACACCTCATGATCACCACCCTGGCCACCTTCAGGAGGGATTTTGCCAGGATGATCTGGTGGATGAACTAGAACTGCTAGCAAGTTGCTTCCCTCACTATTTAGAATGCTAGTAACATCAAGAGAATGCCTTCTGAACATCCCCTTAGGCAATAACTTTTGATGTCCATTTAGATACACTTCAGCAGAGTAATTCACTCCACGGAAGTTCAGATCCAAGAACTGATTTGCTGACTACAACATTTCCCAAATAAAAAAAGTCAACATACAGGTTCAGCAAACAATTAGACACAATGAAAAATCAGAACAGAAAAAGAATCTTCAGTTCATAATCATACCAGCTTACAGTCGAAAGTTGTGAAGAACCAGTATGTGTAGTAATCCCTCCCAGAATCAGCAATATCGAGGATTGCTTCGTTCTCTAGTCCGTAAAATGGATCAGGAACTACTTTGTTCTTTACAAGGGTTGCCAAAACACTGCCAAAGAGAAAAAAGGCTTCCACAAATTAGCCACAGTTACCAATTGCAGATAAAGAAACAATAACTAGCATTCATAGTTAGAAGTTCAGCAATGTTCCTGATCATAAAACTAAAGCAGTGATCTGTATGTGCATCTAAAAGTTGGTACAAAGAGCATAGCATTTCATCATCTATGTAAAAATCGCATTGAAACCAGTTTCCCCAAGACTACAATACTGACCAACCCAACAAGCAGACAGCTGAAAAGAATCAAACTTTACTCAGAAACACAGCTGCAGAAAAATGCCAGAAAACGAATGGATTTTCCTGTTTTCTGCAGGAAAAAAATTACCTTCCGGGGACAACAGCTTCCATCCATGGCGACTTGGGTCCGACGGAAGGAGGGTTAGTGGTAGTGAGCTGAATCCCGGTGAGCTTGACCTCCGTCGATCTAGCCGCTATCCACCCAGAATCGAGAACCCTCTTCCCAACCGCCACCACCATTGCTGGCTTGAGATTCTTCAGCTTCAGAGATATGGCGGAAGCGAGGGAAAGTAATTCGGGAGGAGGGAAGTGGAGTAACTTGGGGGAAGGGACGAGAGAACAGTGGTACTGGTGTCAGACTTTGATTAATGCTGAGTACACGTAAGCCGTATTATGGACTGTTGCTCAATGAATAATGACTAGTGATTTTTTTTTTTTTTTTTTTGAACAAGAATAATGACTAGTGATGAAGATGCAAAATGGGAAAATGCCATATTTTGTTCTTTAGGCAAAACGTGGTTGGCATTGTATTCGAAGCGTTTTCCCTTTTTCTTGCTATCTGTCGTTTCTGAAACACCTTGTTGGCTGTTGCTCTTGATAGACGTGATTAAGAACCAACTGGATTTATTTTATGTTTTTTTGGAAAAAGATAGTTTTGTTTTCTTCTCTTCTTTTAGTGGATTTGTTCTCTTCTGGTCTGTGGCCGGGATCACTGGATGTACTCATCTCATCGTCTTTATTTCCTCTCTTCTTCCTGGTTTGTTTTTCTAACCATATTATGGACAGTGTCACAGACTCACAGTGAACATTCGATGCTCTATATGTTAGTGGTGGAAACATTGGAGTGTAAAATACCAACAGATTTTCTTCTCCTTGTGAATCCATTGATTTCAATCTTTTAAATGTATTGGTACACTTCACAGTCTGACTCTATAAAATTACTAGAATGGGGCCGTCCAATTGACCAGGTGATTTCTTCTCATAGTTTATGAGTTTAGCAATTCCGCTTGTGTTGTGAATAATTATCCGAAAATGGAAATAAGCAACATCATTGAAACATGAAGTAGAAGATGAAAATTATCACAACTTTTATTCATACTCTCAAACAAATACTGCACCAATACATGAGATGATATATATACATAGAAGAGAAAGAGAGTTTGTTGTATGTAAGGAATGGTTTCTCCTTGTCTTCTTAGTATGGTCCATGAAACCGTACCGTACCGGCGGTTCAACCACAAAATACCAGTATCGAAAGCTAAACCGGTAGGCGGTATTTGACGGTCTAACGATTGAACTACAGTTAAACCACGGTTTTATCATAAAATATCATACCGCTGACTTTTCCGGTATGGTTTCATGGACCATGCTTCTTAGTACAGGGAAGGGATCACTTGTAGAGGTGGCAAATAGATTGGATCCATGGATCCAAATGACATCCAAGTCTTTGAACAATATGCAAATCTTGAAAAATCTAGATACTAAAATATTATGATGAAAAATTTTAGGTACCAAAATGTAGTTTTCCAATGGCATTTTCGTCTAACAAAATTAATTTAGGTACCAAAATGTAAAATATAAAAGTATATGCACTAAACTCTAATTTGCCAATGATCTATGAATCCACCAATCAAATTGGATTTAGATAAAATGGATTGGATTAGTTGGATATTTAAGTGGAGGATTGAATAGTTGGATTGGGTTATAAATTGTCACCTCTAATCACTTGATTGAAGGCTTTGGTACAACTCGTGCATATGCATTCCCAACTAATCTCATAAAGTTATCCCTTTGGTACGCATGAATTAGAAGACCCCCACCAAATTTGAATCAACTCCTTCATGAAGATCTTGTAGGAGTTAGTCTTCCTAGACAAGTTCCTCGAGATTATTTGAGTGTTGTTTAAGTTGTTGGGGTGGCCCTTCCCCCGGAAGTTTTGTTTTATGTTTTGCTCTGTTGCTGTGAGTGTTTGCTAGAAGCAGTGCCTCTGTAATATGGCTTTTGCCTCCTCATTAGTAAAAAAAAACAATCCCATAAAATTATAGTACATTATAGGGAAAATGCCATTAAAAATACCAACATTTAGCGAATGCGCCATTTATATTAAGCAACATTTCATATGCCATTTGTATAGCAATTTGTCTTTTCCGTTAGTATGACCGTTATATTTCACTGAGAAATGAGTCAATGTTAAGGGTGTGCAACGGTTCGGTCCGGACCAAACTCATGACAGTCGCGGTCCATTGGTGAAAAACATCATAGGAGCAAAAACCGGATCATCATTATGTTCGGTCCATTTGGTCAAATTCGGCATGATCCAAATACCAGTTCGGTCCATAATTTCTTCAATAATTGTAAAATTCATGTAGACCAAGGACCGGACCGCATTATACTTGGTCTGGTCCAAATTTTGGTTTGGTCCGATGTGGTCCGGTCGGGCACACGGGTCAATGCCTAGTCAGCGCCTACCTGGCTCGGTGACATGAAATGTTTTAACTAAACAGAATGTAAAAATAAAACAAAAATTAAAATTGAAAAAATAAAGGTTAATAACATTTTATACCCCCTCTACTTTAATAAATTAACAAACGTAACCCTCTACTAAATTCTTGCACAAACATACAATTCTATTATTAAATCGTAACAAATTTAACCTTCCATCTGATTATCCGTTAAGTGATCGTTAAATGGACTGGGAAAGACCCAATTGCCCTCATCTATTACGAATTTCAATTATTTTATTATTTATTTCCAAGATTAATTCATTAGAAAACAAAATCCCCTAAAAACTAAAATAGAAGCACATGAGACCGTCCGTCTCCTTATATCTCCCCTGCCCGCATCTCCTCGCCGACGACTCCTGTAGCATAGTGACTGGATCTTGCCACCGCCAAAACCTGATGCAGCCGACATCGAGGACAACTTTGTCGGATGTTACCAACTACTTCATATATTTTTTCGGTTGCCTCTTCTTTCTTCTTCCCGTTTCCGTTTGTTAGAGAAACACCTTTCCCCTATCTTTTTGCATTTTGAGGAGAGGGATTCTCTTCTGCTTGTGAAGCCATACCAATATTTAATCCCTTTAATTCCTTATTTTCTCACAATCCAGGCCCCGTCATTGGCAATTGACTGCGGGAGTGTTGCTGATTAGATCTTGTGCTCGATGTGTTTTCAATTGCTGGCAATGTTGAACTGTTTTCAGGTTGGGTGATCGGCGGTGTTCAACGAACGACGGTCGCTGCTCTTGGTGTTTGCCGATCTGTGTGAATGCCACTAAATTAGCATCCAAGGGTCCGTGCCCAGGTTGGGTATCGTAGTGGTGGTGTGAACAGGGTCCGACGACGATTGAGATGCAGACGATGAGGAAATAAATAAAAAAAAATAATTAAAACTAAAATTAGGATTAATTAAGGGGCAATTGGGTCATTTCTCAATACATTTAACTGTCACTTAACGGATAATTAGATGGAAGAATAAACTTGTTACGATTTAATATTGGAAGGATATGTTTGTGCAAAAATTTAGTAGAGGGGTATGTTTGGGTGATCTCTCTCCTCTCTCATCTCCCTCACTCGTTCTGGTTCTGCTTTATTCTCCCTATTTCCTTCTCTCATCTCCCTTACTCACGCCATCATCGATTCAATTGCTGCAACTAAAGCAACATTCTTAGAATCCAAATGGGAAACTCATCCAAAATCACCACAACCAAGTAGCGGGGATTGAGGAGGAGGGCTGCATGCAACTAAAGTATTTAGTTCGCTGCCTCTATATCCAGCGGAATGAAGAGTTTTGACCATTCTAATTCCATTAATAGCAGCGCCAACTCTAACCATTGATGAAGTTGACTCCTCGTCATTCATCTTTGTCTCCACCGCCCATTCTTTTCCCAATCCATCCTTCAAGATCCATTAATTTAATCCCTAATTAGCATAGTTCTTCTGCAAGATTGAGGAGGATGGCGGAGTGCGGAGGCAGGCAGAGCGAGGAGAGAAGGGGAAAGATGATCGGTCTTGAGAATGACGAAAATGATGACGGTCTCCGCCACCATTTCGCCTACGATCGCCAATGGAACTAGCTGAGAAGGAGGGAGAAATCGAGAGAGGAGAAATGGCGACACCGATGGTGGATTGAGCGTCGATTTTGATGGAGGAAATCTAAGCCTTCAACCCTCATGGCGGCCAATTTTTGTCAAAATGACGTGGATGGAGACAATAGGGAAGCGAACGACGAAAAACAAGATCCCACATCTTCATCATCATTAACCCCCATCTATCTCTTCTCTTCACAAGTTGTTGCTATTGTCATGGCGGCCTTCTGCTCATAACCACTTTCTGACAAAAACGACGATCCCACTTGGTGCTCGAGCTAAGCAACCATGACCTTGGAGAGAGCGTTCTTCTCGAGTTCTCTAAGGTGATGACCGGTAGCCGATTGGGGTGATTTTATTTAGGAGGTAATATTGATGTTTCTGTTGGTGGATCGAGCGCGAGACTCTCTCCTGCTTCTTTCGATGGAAACCCTAATTTGGTTCTGTGGAAATCAATTTGGGAATGGTTAAAGTCGATCGTAGAATGGTAGGGAAGAGATAACAAAATGAAAGATAGCTGAAATGAATGGGCCCGAAACAAGGTAAAGTAAAATGGGCTTTAGTTCACGTCAAGCCCGCTGTTCAATTCCAAGCCCGCTCCTTGTTTCTTCGCTCAGCCGAACTCTGGTTTAACCCTGTACTAGACTGACTCCTCTGTTCGTCAGGGATGCCTGCAAAATAGAGTGACCAACTACAAGCAGCAACCTTAAGCAAAATTAGATTGAGACGACAAGAACCCAGTTTTTACGTGGTATCCGGTACTAATTGATTTAGTACCGACTAATCCAGGGTCGAAGGATCTCAATCGAAACCTCCGACGTTCCACTATGATCACGACAACTAAACCCTTTACAGTCGATCTCCTGGCAACTCTCCGTCACCGATCAGACCCAGAAATGGTTCACTCCCCGCAAACCTAACCAAGAATACCCGTTATTCTACCAGCAATTTCCCCAACTGCTACCAACTCTTCTCTTCTCTCTCTATCTCACAACACTGATTCTTTCTTTCGTGATTGCAAAGACAGAGTCTGGAAAAGTGCTCTGCCCATGAGATTACAATTTGAATAAATACTCTAATTCTCTCGGCCGTTGTCCCTTGATCTCCTCTTGAATGATCCGATCTTCCTTTCTTGATTTACCATACATTTTCCTTGTCAGGATGAATTCAACCGTTGCTTAAGACTTTCCTTCTTCATGTATGTAATTCACAGTTGGCATTACCGAGCATTGACAAGCTTCTCACTACATACTCCCCCTAAGCTAGTCAATGGCTCCCGTCGCTGTGTAGTCTTCTTGCACACACTCAG